AATTTAAAATTATATATATATATATTACAACTTAAATAAATTAGTTTTGCACTTTATAAATAAAAATATTATTTTATTTATTTACACTAATTTGTCTTTATACACAAACTAAACACCAATTTTTAATTGTATAATTTTAATTATATTATATTTAAAAATTAGTAACTTGTACTATATAAGCCATTAACTTGTCAATAAAGTGATAATGTAAGCTTAGCAGAACTTTTATCTTTTATTATTCTTATTATTTTTATTTGGTTGTTTACTTGTTTATTATACAAGATACATTAAATAAGTGTCACCATTATAGAGTAAAACCTGTTATTGTAAGAACTGGTTGTGTGGATAAATTTACTAATTATTGTTTTTTATGATTGTGAATTTGACATTGATATAAGATTGTGAATTGAATTGTTTATGCTTACTATTACAATTATAGATGTATTTGTAATATCAAAATCGTTAAATATTCAATATACAATATTTTGTTTCTCTTAAACATTTGATTTATTAAAGTGATGTGCTAATGTGAAATTATATCTATAATTGCTGACATTACTGCTTATTATTAGACACAATAATATCATTGACTCTTACTTTGCCATTATTACTTTGTCATCGTACCCTTTTATTAAACATTGGATCACTTCGCCCCTAAGTTGATCCTTAATTAAATATGTAACTGTGATTTTGAATTCATTTAGTACATTGTAATTAATTCGGTATTTTATAAATAATTTGACTTTATGATATAATATAACATGTAAGTAGAAGCAAACTTTAAGTGCACTCGGAAAATCTTCAATTAAACTAGTATTTTAGGGTAGAATTAATCACAAATAGACTTATATTATAACCTAATTTTACTAGAAAATTCCGAATTGTGCTTCCATTTACATCAAAATATGGTTGAATCTTCTAAATGCAGCTTATAGAGGCCAGGCTTTTGACAGCTTGCATTTAGAAAACAATAAAAACTGTATTTATAAAAGTCTAAAATAGAGAGGTATTGCACTTAGAGGGTTAAATTAAAAGAGCTTGACTATAATTTTTTATTATTATGATTAGCCTAACTATCGTCTGGATATCTGCATGTTTGCAGATATCCGGATACCAATTTTTGGACTTGGATATCTATTGAACAGATATCTGGATGACAATTTTTGGACTTGGATGTCTATTGAACGGATATCCGGATATAGTTATGGATGATTATCCGGATATCTGAATTGATATCCGGAACCCAACACTAATCACAAACAAATTTATATGAAACTATATCTGATATAATTATTTATTAATACCATATAAAATCATTGACATCGATAAACGCATTACTACAAAATCTATCAACTTAAAGTCTAAAACTATATCCCGATACAAACAAAATACAAGTACTTATTGTTAAAAAAGTACTATTACACAAATTTTTAAAACAATAAAAACCAAATAAATAATTTTTTTAATAGTACATGATACGTAACAGTTCATTAATACCGAATTAACTTAGCAAATAAATCTAAATTAATAATCTTGAACGTAACACTATTCTTTAATAATCTTAAACATAACGCTATTTTAATCTCTTATAAGCTCACATGTTCATGTTTTCAATGTTTCATATCACTGATCTATTTTACTGGCACTACGTGTCTGTCTTTAAAAAAATAAAAACAAGTTATAAATAAAATAGATTAGCGTTGTAAACCTTACAAAATGACTTAAATTTATCAATTCTAATACATCGTAGACTATATTGGTTAAATTGAAACGCCTAAACATGACTTCCGAATTACCTCGTCAATTAACAAATTACTTTGGCATATTATAGAACCGAAGTGTAGTTTCTAAATTTTTATATCATAACCTTCCCGAATTTGTACTCATGGTTCCGAAATTATTTTTGTGCACTCTTGTGACAGAAAATCGTTACTTTAATAAGACTTCATTATGATGAGATGATCTGCAAAAATTAGCCAATCATGATAAAGCCCGCTATGCTGCTTACGCGGGGTACTTTAAGGGATCTCTGCTAAAAATTAATAGAATAAAAACTTGACTAAAAATGTAAAGTAGATATCATATATATGTTTATTTAGCAATAGATGCATTAGAAAAGATTCTTTGTAAGAATTCTACTTTAATTTCTTTAAACATTAGATCTAATAAATTTAAGTTTGAAAAAATAAAAAACCACTAGAGGATCTTTATAAAAATCGAATTAGAGGAAATGATTTTTTTGCAAGAACACTAAGAACACTACACTGACCTGAATCTTTGTTCTAATTGTCCTCGGATCAGAAAGAGAAAAGGTATTAGAAGGCGCACTTTGCAAGTACTGTATAATAAATACACTAGATTAACCTCTTTGTATAGTGTATTATACAATATTGGACTAGAAGTAGTAAAGACATTAGTAGATGCATTTACTGGATATATTTTCAGGATGCAAGAATTTTTATTAAAAGGCTTTTGCTTAATGTCGCTATTACAAAATATCATCACTTAAAAGTCAGCATAGTTCTATTGAATTGTCTTTCAAGGAATTTTTATTTTAATATACCATGTAATGCTTGAAGTTTGGTTTTAAAATTCTTTACTTTTGGTATATTAAAATAATATCAAGATTAGTATATATTATTCTTCGATCGATACTAAAATCAATTAGCAAATTAGTAATAGCTCCTTTTAAATATTGTAACTTTATTAACTTTTTACATTTCGGTCTCCATTTCAAACCCGAATACACAGTCATACCACAAACATCTGTCAGAATTCTCATTGGAATGTTTGGTGTAAGAACGTGAGCAATGACAATTCACATAGAGATCTAAAAACCGGTAGCAAAAAAAAAGTCAAATATAAATGCTCTGAATAGTTTATTATTAATCTTTTCTAACATTGTATTTGTCTCACTCAACAACCTGATTCTGAAACCCATTAAATTGAGATCACGGGGGCTGAGAAATTTTTGTGGTACGGCTATGGTACTCTTAAAACTCATTTTTACATTTTTCTTATGTCATAATAATAGTTCTCAGCTTTGTTTAGCTTTATGCTTTTTTATAATTAATTTATGCTATGCCGCATAATCAAAAATCATTGTCAAATAAATTATTGGATCGATCACATAAAATAGATAATAGAATGATAAAAAAAATATAAGTGGCTAATGATGTTTAACGAAGCTTTTTATATCAAGCAATTCTGAATAACGAGTTGACGAACTATATGATAAAACCTATGATGAATGATGATACATGCAGCAATTACTCTTTTCATTTATAATAGAATTAAATTGGTCCATGTGATGTTTATATTTTTGTTTTTATTACCTATTATTATTATTATATTATTATTATTTTACCCGTTGAAAGCATTAATCACCTTATTAATTCGATGGAACTGACGAAGAAAATTATTGATATTAAAAAAAAATAAAATTACAGACTTCTGATTTACATAATATATATCTAAGATAAACTTATATGATTTTTATCATTTTGCGCATATGCGTTGTAACGCACCCATAAGATCAGGTGTTGTAACATGGTGTTGTAACATGAAATCAAAACAAACCAATTAGCGCATTAATTTAGGGTAAGGGCCAGTGTTAAGATAGGTCAGGATTAAGTAATGATAAAATCGATTTTAATATCAAAATTTTGCAAGGAATTTTTTTTATTAGAACGCGAAAAGTGGTTTCATAAGCAAAATTTCGAACTACAAGCGATTTTTAGAAAAATCGGTATTTTCTTTCGATTTCACGTTACACCTGATCTTACGGTCTAATTGGTTGATCATGTGGGTGCGTTACAACGCACATGCGCTAAATTACAAAAACCAACTTATATATGAGCTTATTAATTGAGCATAGATAGGTGCCATCAAAGGAAAACCCGATAATGAGCTTTCAATATATCGCATTTTGTGACAGATAAAATCTCTAACAAATCAATAGATTGAGTCCGGTAAACCATGAACTTGAAATCCCGATTACAGGTTTTCCTTGGCAGCACTCATTTAGTGAGCGCATTAAATATACAAATATATTCGTAACGTATCCGCTAATAGTGTTTAAAAGTATAGAAGCATTATCTTTCGCTTTCAATAATGAACATAACTCGATGGAATTCAAGCACTGAATTATGTAATGTTCCGAATAAGTAAATTAGTGATTCAATTCCATGATTTAGAATTAGTGATTCGTGACATAATCTAGAGCTCTAACATACTCACCTAATTTTCAACTAAAGTTATAACCTTCCATTATTAAGGGTTTAGATTAGATAAAGTCGAGTAGTATTTTAGTTAGTTTATTGTTATTATTATCTGACGCATATTCGCTTCAGAATAGTCTCGTCTTTTATACCGTCCTGGCAGTCTGTGTGCAACTGCGATAGTTATATCATTGCTAAATAGATGTGAAATAAACATAGCCAATAAATATAGTATATTCTTACTGCGTGCACAAGTCACAATACATGAGAAATAAACAGTACTGTGCCAATAAAGGTAATTGTGAAAATAGGAAAATAGGAAAAATGACATTTTGAAAAACTTTATTTAATAACTATTGTTCGTTTACTTAAGGATCAAGTTTTATATGTAAAATAGTAATATGACTATTAGCCAAAAAAAATTATAATTTTATCATTATATTAATTCCATTAATTCGAGTTGTAGCACTCTAAGTAATATTATACATTTTATTAAAACAACGGATTTTCTTCAAATATTTAAAGTCTTTTTCACGATTTTTTTTCGTAAATATTTATATTTTTTTAAAAAATATACATCAGACAATAAAATAATTTATAATAAGTTCAATGATAATATAAAATAAGGATCATTTGAAAGTTCAACTTTAATATAAGCGTTTAGGACTAGTAGATAAGTGAAACAGCTTATCTTCCGAATGGGGCTTTTTTAAAAAGATGTTTGAAGTTCCAATATATGCATTCCTAAACGAAGCACTGATTGATTGCATATGTAGTATTTCAAACCATCAAGCGACCATATGTTACTAAATGAATGTTAATTGATTTCAATCCAGACAAGTCATTTTCGGTATAAAGACTAATTTTCCACTGACAAAATGGAGTTGGAACAAAATAAATTTTTTCGTCATTATTATATTTGTTATCGAGACCAATATGTTTTTCGGATTTGAAATCTAAAGATGAATTAAATGATGAATTCATTCTGTATTTAAATTCACCAGGTGGGATAGGTTTAGAGCTAAAATGATGAACTTGATTTTTTTCATCTCTGTTCACCAAGGTGCCTGTATTGCTAATATAGAGTCTGATTAGCTCATTTTCTAATCCAACCCCTTCTAAGTATACCCTAAGAGCATGAAGGTTTATGTGTGAATAATTCAATAATTCTTCATAATTCAATGGAATTTCTATTATAACAGATCGATTATTTTTAAATTCTTCAATATATTTTTCTTCATCAAATTTAATTAAAGACCAATTAAGGTTAGGACTACGCCCAAATTGTACATATGTACTCTCTAGTTCATCTCTAATTTTATTCATATCTTCTTCCAATTCTTGGAATGTTTTAATGACAGAAGGTTTTATTTCTGAATTTGAAAGTGACCAATATTCGTAGGCACAAAGATAATCATCCATGTATATCATCATCCAAAATTTAATATTGATAAGATGTTCGATTAATTGGAATTTAATCTCATCATAATTTTTTGATTCGTGTTTTTTAATCATTAGTTCAACTCGGTCTTTTTTTCTTTTTGACATTTTTGCTTGCAAACTAGTTCGTAAAAATTCTTCAGAACTTTCGATTTCTTCGATTTTGGCTTTAATGTATGCGTCAATAAATATAAAAAAAATCTCTAATGAATCTAAATATTTTTGAGCACCTTCAATATTTTGTTTGATAGGCTAGTGATAATGAAATAGTTTAAATAAGTAATCACTATTGTTATTATTTAATTAATTTGTAGAGGATATATAATAAACATATTTACAAATTCAAGCAATTTCATCATTTGACGCCTAGTTAATTCCCATTCAGTGCTTAATAAGATTCCTTTTTGATCATTAGCTTCAAGCCTAATATGTAATAGAGATGACTTGTGAATTATATTGATCATAATTGCTAATTAATTAATTTAGTACATTTAGACAATTTGACATACCTTTTTGCAAGGCCATTAATATCTAAGTTCTCTATTTTTCCATACTTTTCCTTCGTATTACTATCTAATTTATTGGCATTTTCAATGTCACTTTTCATTTTTTTATCAATTTCTTGAATTTTATTAACCTGATTTTCTAAATCCTTAAGTTTGTCAAAATTTTCTTTCACATCAGCATCGGTAGCTAACTTATATAACTCTTCAATTTTTTTCCATATCGACGCTAGTTAAAGCTTCCTGAACAGAACTAGTTACTTTTTTTATAGTTTCAACAAAGCTGATTATGCCACCAGGTTGTAAAACAATTTTGGTAACACTTAAAGATAAATCTACAGCAGCAATAATCAATTTTTTTTGTGCTTCAATTTTTTGTTCTTCTTTCCAATTCTCAATTCCTTTTTCAAGTTCATTAAAAGCACTTTTTACATTTTCTCGCTTTCTCTATTATTAAAATAAAATAAAAATTAATACTTGATTATTTTTGGAAATTAATCATTTCTATAAACATGAATACATGCTTGAAGTTCATTTTCAAAGTTTTTCATTAAATTACATGCTGAATCATGACGAGTTTTTCTTTCTTCATTTAAATGTTCATACATTTTGGCTTTATCACTACTATTCATTAACGATGCATATAGCGTTTCTGCCTTTTGTTCTCTATCATTTAGGAACTGTGCAAATTTTTCTTCATAATCTTTTGCAAATTTCATATATTCATCAATTCGTTCTTTATAAATACGCTTATCAAGCGGTGGAACAAATTTAATATTATTTTCTTTTCTTTTATCTATGATATTAAGTTTCGTGAGTATCGTCAATGCATAATAATATAATTCTTTTGTCTCTTCACGTTCAGATTGTCTTGTTATTCTTATTATCCAAGAGAGAATTGGTCGTGTAATTCCGGGATTATCATAAAATAAGGAAATAGCGATATTTAAAGAGTATTGTAAAACTTTGAGGAATGCATTATTTTTAAGGATAATATTATCGAATATAGGTATATCCTTATATTCCGAACTTTTCCCATTGCATAGAGTAAGTATTTTGCCAACATTTTTTGAATCTTTGATTTCGAATTTATATGAATCATTATTTGCATTAATTTCAAGTTCAGATGTCATTTCTATAGTGTAAATTACTATTCGGAAAGATTTTTTGTAATTAACAATTATTTTGCATTTTGGTTCAATTTCAATTCGCCTTGCTACTATCAAAATAGCACCACCGTCATTCAAAAGTGGAATTTCTAAAGTATTTGGAAGTTGAACTACATCAGCATAAATTCGGAAGATTCGAGTTTCAGGTTTTATATCGAGGTTAGAAAAATATTTGTTAAGGTCAACGAACAAATCACAACTAGAAATCTTTATAAATTTTTTTTTAAAAATAATAGAAAATTTCTGATTAAAATTGGTTTTAAATAAATTTAAATAATTTCTTTCACATATTTTGATTTAATTATAAACTTTAATACAATTGAATACCTCTATATCTCCTATCTTTGTCTGTTGTAATTCTGGTTTTAGCTCTGGTACTTTAAAAAAACTTAAAACTTTATCATATGTTTCCTTCCAGTTATTTGATTTAAACATGATTTTTTAAATTATGAATATCGATATGTGCACCTGCTAAAAATTAACAATTTGGACTAGTGTACAACGTGCATACTGTGCGTCTTGTACGCATTAGCTGGTAATTTTAGGTAGGTGTAACTTCAGCAATTCCGAGCAAGTGTTAATTTTAGACACGGCAATAATATATTGCATTTATAATATTATGTTATAATTAGAATTTTCCGTATTCAAGTACGTAGTATGTATGTAGTATGTACGTCGTACAACTAAGATTATCTATCATCTTGCTCACTGATTATGTATTTTATTTAAAAATGAACTTGATACGTACATTCGTATGTTCGTACGTACAGTACATACCAGATGCGTATATCTGATATGTTTATTTTATATTATATCGTTAGTCTGTATTTTTTTTCTTCGTGATAGGCTTTTAGAGGCTAATGAATTCGTTCAAAAATGTAATATTGTTTCAACGTTTTTCAATGAGGATCTCTACAGGAAACTGAATCATTTGATTTTTTTTGGCTTTAACAATTAATTAAAAATAAAACCTCCAAACCAAGTGATTTTTCTTATACGTAGCTTGATTAAATAGATAGGTGCCGCCAAGTGAAAACATGACATTCTAAAAATAGATTTCTATGGACAACGGAATGCGGAATTTTAACCAATATGACTAGATTAATGAATTATACTGCACTGTTTTTTGATCACATAGTACAGTAGTATCATTTAAAGTCTTGTTAATAGAAATCTATTTTTAGAATGTCAGGTTTTCACGTGGTAGCCCAAATATAAATATTAGTCTGAAATACATGAAAGTTTAATTTCTTATTTAAGATAACGATAGTATAAACTACATTTTTCAAACAAGAGAAACCGTCAATGTTACACATTAATCCTTCACATGATGTAGTTAATCAATAATAAAATTATTTATTTTGAGTATACTCTATAATGTAAGTTATGGATATAATCCTTCGCTCGTCATTCACAAGGTGTGATCAGTTAAACTGAAATTATATGTAACTTCAAGTGTGATGTGTGATGGATATAATCCCTCACTTGGTGTAACCTTAACGGTTCCTTCTGTTCATTTTTCACCGTTCCACATACAGTATCACTTGAACAACGTCGTACAATGCATTGCTGTTAACTTTACCTATCGATATTGAATACGTAAGGAACATATAAATAAAGATTGTAAATGCCTATTATAACACGTACGTACTTATGCACGCATATTAGTCTGTACAAACTTTAGAGATTAAACACAAGCAATTTCAAAAGATGAATGAAAATTACGATATTTTTTTAAGAAGTATGATATATTTGTACTTTTCATGACTATGAACTATACTATGAACTATATTAAAGTATTTTATTTTTAGTTGGTGTGGACGGTAAAAGAGACGTTGGCAAATCCAGTCTTGTCAATAAATTTGCCAATGATGATTTTGAAAAGGGAGAATATAAAGACACTTTGCATGTATATGTCACAACTACGTTCATTCCGTTAAATGATTGCACTATCAAAGTAGAATTTTTAGAAACAGGTATTAACAAAGTTATCCTTATAATGAACATATGAGTGCGTGGGAGTGAAAACCTGGAAACCGATCATAGTAAATCATTAAATCGGTTTCCAGGCACACTCATATCATTATCTGACATTTAAGAGAGAAAACTTGTAAATTAATTCACAGATTTTTACTTTATCGGACTCAGCCCCCAAAATCTGATTTTTATATATAATTAAATTCTACATTATTAGTTCATAATTCACTTTTTCTTTTAATAAATTCATTTGATGTCCATGAAATGCTATTTATCGAAAGTGACTAGAACGTATTGAATTACATTAATCATTACAGGATCAATTTACAAGGGCTAAGTCCGATAAGGTGAAACTAGAGATACAACCGATGCGATCGGCTTGTAAAAAACCAATAGAGCTGATAAGTCGATTGCATCTCTAGGCAAAATAATTCACAAGTTTACTGTCATTCGTACTGGTATTCGCTGTTAGTTGGATCTTATAGTCACTAATCGTTATGAGATGGTGAAGTTAGAGATTAATTATGCGATGTTGACGTTACAATTTTATAGCACCCGAGTTATTAGTTTAATCTGTATTCAAAATACTAATAATTAATATGCTACGTGTGAAATAATTGATGTCGATAATTATATTATAATCACCGTTAATTATTATTTTTTCTTAAAATTTTTGTAGGATGGAATCTCAGACCAAATAAAAAGTGAGTTAATATAATTCTATGTGTTATACATGTTTTGTATGAGATTATGTTTTTTTATAGTATAAATATTATATTGTAGTTATTATAGTTATATTGACGGTGCTATACTTGTTTACGATATTTCTGAATCTGACGGATTGAATGAAATGAAAGAATTATCACGTGAATATATTAGCAGTAAAATTCCTATTATGATTATTGCCAATAAATGTGACAAAAATAAGCATGAAAATAGAGATGACCTTTTAAAAGAAGTTAAAAATTATTTTGGTAATGCATGTAAATAAATCGATATTAAGATATAATTGTAATTGTTAATTAATACTTCCGCAAATTTTTAGGAGAAGAATATTTATTTGATAAAACTTCAATTAAAGAGAAAACTAGTGATAAACTTAATAAAATCTTAGAGGGTATTCTATGTTATTAATTCCTGAACAGTAATTTGCATAATCAATTAATATAAATTTATCATTTAGAATGCATATCTAGGTTCTCGGATTTTCGAGGTAAATTTTAAATAAAGCAAATTCCTTCATTAGAATTATCAATGCATATATATATAATATATATATTATATAATTTAGAAATTAAAAATCTGAAAGAATTGACCTCTCCAAGTAACCAATTCAAATTTATGATGGAATATGCAACACGATTGTATTCATTTGAGATCCCGAAGAAGGTTATTTATAATGGAGAACAAATAGAAGGATTAACGAGTGAAGATATAAAATCATTTTTATGGCTAGTACGTACCAGTATTCAAACGTCAAATTCATTTGCATTTTAGTAATCATATAAATTACATCCCTTTTATTAATTACATAAATTATAAGCATGTGGGTACAAATTTCAGATAATATTTATTTATTATTTATTTATTAAGCACATTAATCACCTACTTTCATAATTTATTAGAATGTAAGCATGATTTCTTAACAATATTATATATATACCTACTAAACGTATGGGCGAGAATTTCCAATTTTCATAATTTTTATTATGCAAAAAAAAAACTTTTTGAACCAAGTTTTAGCGTGACTATTGAGATCTAAAGTGATATTTTAATCAATTATCATAAAATTTCTTATCAGTTGCTTATATGGTTTACTTTATGGGTCTTTCGATAGTTTGCGAGCTTTTATCAGTTTTTATACAACTATACTATAAGTTCTATAGTCAGTACGTACGTAAGCACATACCTCTGAGTTTTTAGTTAATAATATTATTAATATTTAATAACTTCAATCATTAATGATATCGATATGATGAGTTAAATGGTCCCATCACTATATGTATATGTCGCATCTGAAGTAGCGATTTATCTAAAGTAACCACTTTATATATCTAAAGTAGCGCACGAAGATCTAATTTCGGGGGCTTAATTTTAGCAGGCGCTACTTTAGATAAATCGCTACTTTAGATACAACATATACATATGTAATTTAAACCATCACATTTAATTTTAATAATCACGATGTTCCGACTGTAAATTTTCGCCATACGATCAGTGTATCATTGTAATTAATATTTTAATTGTATCAATTTTTAGCTCGTGAGTAACTTCAGATAATATAATAATAAATAAAAAATATAATAATAAATTAATCAATACAACAATTGATTACAGACAGTAAGTATAAAATTTTAATATTAATTATTAAGTTATAATTTTATAATGAATTAATCAATACTCCGATCTATTACAGTTGGTGAGTATAAATTTCAATGATATTTATTTATTAAATTATAATTTTATAATGAATTAATCAATACTCCAATCGATTAT